CACATTGCTTTTAGTTTTAATCTGTAAAACTATTTTGATGAAATGATGATGTTCACAAATTAAACTTTGAAAAGCAAATCAATCTTTTTTTTATCAGTGAACTTCATTTTTGAATATGCAAAAATACATGGATTAACCTTATGCTGTTTTCAAAACATACGCAATAAAAAAATATAATAAAAAATATTCTGTATATTGAATCTTAATGAATATTATGCAATGTAGTTGAAAATAAAATATTAGTTCCATAAAGTTTTTAACTTGGACATTAATAATTTTGCTTTTTCAAATCAAATTAAAAAAGTTTGTTATGTTTTAATACATGTATGAGTGGAAAAAATGAAGCCTTTTTGAAGCTTTACGACCTTTTAAACCTTTATTGACATTTTTACAGTCAATATGCTTCAATTTCTTTTACTCCTTACTGTCTTCAGTGCTAAAGAAGAAAGAAAGTACAGAATGTGTATTAATTCAGTATTTCTCGCCACCTCGAGGACATCATTAATTTGGCAGAATAATGTCGGACAGTTTCCATTCAGTCATTAATAATCATTTTCTATACAAATGCTATGAGACATTTTGTAAATTGGAAGCTTATGGGTTTTTTGGGGCAGAAAAAAATAATTCGTAGAGATAACGAACTTTATAAGATTTCCGTTGGAAGTTGGACGTTTTTCTTGGTCATGCGGGTTAATGAGGGACTGATTGGAAAATTGGTTTTGCGGATTACTTTGTCATAACTGGTACATGGTATTGACGTAATCGGCTTTAGAGACTTTCCCTATCAAATTATGACTATATCTGTGCAGTTCTTGTGGATGACTGGTATGGTCTTTGTCAATCAAATCTTGAAGATGAGTAGCAAAATTAGATATCTATATATAGAACTTTTATATTCATCCATTAATTCAAATATTTGTAACTGATACATTTGCTTTTTTAGCATAAACATATATATAGTTGATTTATTTTGTTGTTAACTACACATTAAAGTGACACTTTTCCATGTAGGAATTTTCAAGTGTAAAAACCCCATAAATCTTCATTTTTTTAAGGTATTTTTTTTCAAATCACACGCCCATAAATGATCATGTTTACTTTCTTTCCTTTAATCCAAAAAGGACAATTCTTTGGCTTCAACATTTTTTTCCTAAAAGAAAAAGATGCAAATGTGCATTTGTACTTTCAGTATATGAATGTTAATTATATAAAAACAATTTTGCAGATTACTGACCTTACGACGACAATTGGAAAAGTATCTGAACTTTATCATTGCTTTGATTGTTTTATGATAAAAAAAATCGAAAACAAGAGCATCTTGCTGTTAATTCTGATAATAAAGACCATACTTAAAATCTCTCTCCTGTCATCTGTTATTCAAGAGTCGCCATATGGCAATTGCTCTGATACTTAAAGTATACAGTCTGCGGCGATTAAACGATTATCGCCCACACGTTTTTGAAGTGAGTTTGAAAGAATGAAAATGACTTTTTTGGAAGTCGGAAAATATCCTTTAATTTCTACCCCAAAAGGGATTTTACAATTACTGTGGAATTTAGTACATTGCAAAATATTCGTAATGCAAGGGGAAAAAAAACTTTAATTTCAAGTATAAACGTTAGATTGATACAAAAGGAGCCTGAAGGATAGAATCTTTCCATTATCTAAGTAAAGCAGATCATGTGTTGTTTCGTGGACAGTTTATTTGCTTAGATGTTATAGGCGGTTCTTGGACTGTGTCTTGGACAAGTAATAAAGAAATTCCTTACTTTGATTAAATAGGGATTGTTTTGCTCTGTGGAAATTGAAATCTGAACAATAGATGCCGCATTTATTTCGAGCCATTTGGGATTATTTATTTGATTAATGTTAATCCTAAACATTTTATCTGCCACTGAATAAATCAAACCAAATTGAACTTGTTCTGTAAGAGACGTTTATAATTGAATAGGGCATCGAATTGTATTTGGTAGTCAATAAAATGATTTTTTTTTCTTAACATTGCCATAGAAAAATTATATTTGAAGTCAGCTGATATAACATTCAATTTCGTGTCTCTAATCAAAGGAACTATCGACCAATGATGTTAAAAATCTCAATGGCAAATGAGAATAAGTATCATAATTCATCAATATCGCCAAAGATCGTCGAAGATAAAGCCACCTCACGATGTATAGACAGATATGCCATTATTAAAAGATACTGTGCCACTACTATCAGTCTTCAACAATGTTGTTCAAAGGTTTTTAAACACATTACTTGTGTGTATGTGTCCTAGGTGTTTCCGTCTTAAAATGTAAAATTTCAGAGTAAAATAAGGAAAGATGTAATGTGATTTCATGAAGCAATCGGAACGTTCCTCTACTCAATTTTTGTATTTTACAAATGATATTCATATTTTTCTTTTCTCTGAATTTAACAAAACAAAAATGTAAAGAAAACGAAAAATAAAACTTTAAAATTGAATCAAACATTTAAAAAACTGTAAGTAGACTAGATGCTTATTTAATTCAAATGATGACTAACGTTTTTCATACTAATTGTTAGTCCATTATTTATAAACTGAGTTGACGTATTTTCCGTTATTTCCCGATCATGACAAGGAGCGCACGGCGGATGTTACCGGTCGGTAGGGGATGCTCACTCCTTCATGGAACCTGATCCCACATCTGATGTTTTGGAGGTCCGTGTTTGCCCTACTCCTACTTTGTATTGTTTTATGGACTTTTAACCTTAAATACTGTTGGTTATCTCCATATGTTTCATTCCATGGGCTCCATAAGCCGGACAAATGAAGAATATGGGAAATAAAGATAATGAACAGTAATCAAGATCAAAAGTCCATTGAAATCGTACACATCGGAAGATGTGCAACAATGAACTTCTTAAAGGCACCAATGGGGGATGAGAAGACATGTAGGAGTAAACATACCTAATGGATCGGTCAAATTGGCCATGTGTTCCCTGTCATGAAAGAGAAAAAATAATTCAAAGACAACTCAAAGTGTAAATATTTAATGACCTAACAACGAGTATTAAAAAGATATAGTCAGCATTTGACTAAATGATATATTGTATATACTTGATGACAAGGTCATTGTATCGACCACCGAACTTTCAAATGATGATCTCAAGCGATACCTTTGATATTATTGTTTCATTAATTCGTTTGTCTCGTTGAGAAAGCAATCTAAATATATTGCTTTACAATTTGCATTAAAAGCAGCAATCGGCATGCGACCTAATGACAGGTTATAATTGAAAACAAGTTCAAGGTATTGACCTTTTATCATATCTGCAAATGTTGATTTTTGATTACCAAATATCTGAATAAGCCAACCTGCAACAAGGAATATATTATACATTAAATTTTTAAAGAAAATCTTTTTCCTACATTACACTGTACACATAGGATGGGATGTTGAGAAAGCCCATTCCATATCATTCTTTCATTTTCAAAAAGAAATACAATAAGATATCTAAATTTTGTGGTATTTTATGATTATTATGTCCATTCTAGCTACTGATAAGATTTTAAATTTGTTTTGTTGACACGAAATGGAAAAGGCAGGTCTTAAAACAGATGATGCCTGTTCGTCAAAATTAGGGATGCAGCCTATAAGAATTTCTATATGACAAGCTTATTGCTTTGAAAAGTGTCGAATTTTTCTTTTACCTATTAATGTTTTTTTTCTTGATTGTGGAGAGCAATGACTGCAGATATATCCAACTTAAAAGATCCATAATTAATAAACAATCCTTCACTCAAATCTATATTATTATTCAACTATATAAGATTAAAATGGACTTTTTTTGATTACTTTTAAGCTTTGGTTACTTTAGAATTTAAATCTCTAGTTACTCTCAATTACTAAATGTTGATCACTAAAAAGCTATGTTTTAAAATTTGAAAACTTTTGTTTTCTAAACTTGTAGTTCACTATAGTATTTTTATGGTCCTATTTAGTATTTTATAAACAACTTTGAGATATATTTTTCTTTTCCTTTAATTTACTCTCAACTTAAGTGAGTTTGTTGAAATTATTTACCCTCAGTAGGAACTCGAGATGAATATAAAAAAAAATCTCTTTGACCCCTATCACTAGAAATGGGATTTCGTAAGGAAAAAAAAAGAAAATTTATTTGGTCAATGCCTCTTAGGTTGCACTGAACTCAAGATAATTATATATCCAAGTGTTATTTATTTTCCTCTATCTCATTGATATCAGGGGTCTATATATTAATCACGGGTTAATCTTGTTAAAGTGACCTATAGACCCAAATGTGAAGACACGCAATTTTTCGTTATCACCGGATGTTGACTTCATAATGATGCTTAAGGATTGATTTTACATTTTCCCCTCTAATAAATTAATTTATATCACATCTAGAAGGATCATTAAACCTTTACATCTGTCAGTATAGCTATAGTCCTTCTGTTCTGTTTGGTGTTTATTAGTTAACGACATAAAATTTAAAGACCAACGGGAAAACTGGGTTATATTTTCTCTGCTTTATTGTCACCTCTGGCTAATATATAAACCTTATTCCTTAAGACTTAGACAGTAAAGATGTTTTTGGTAGGTGAAAATGCTGAAGATCGTTAGCCTTGATCCAACATTATGTCAAGGACTGACATCAAGTTATCATAGTGTTTCTCAATGTTCTGAATTCAAAATCATCTGAGACTAATTGAAAAGATTTTGACTAAAAACGTTTATGCATTTCTACTTTACATTTTTATGCCATATCCTCAAACTGACCAGTGTTTGTTTTTTTCATCCTCTTCATTTACACATTATGTTGGATACTGTTCTTACCAGATTCTAAAGTCTTTTAACCACAACCAATTTTCTCATTTATTTTGACGTGAAAAATACATATATAACCAATACAATGTACATGCACAAATATTAGTAAACGTTTATACAGTTCAGATAATTTATACTGTTGTAAAATAAACTTTAAGAATTTAAATTGTTCTTTCGTTTCAGAAGGATGCTGACCTAAAATCAATCTTGTAGACCAAGTCAACAACGTCTTGCAAAGTATGGCATACAGCTTTAACTACAAATCCAGCTTTCAGAATGTCTCCGAAAACTTAACTATCACGGCCAACTCACTTAACAAAACAACTGTAGACGACTTTCAGTCTTTAACAGAGTTCTACAAGAGCTATGCAGGGTATCATGGCTACATCAGTGTGTTTGTTTGTACTTTCGGAATTATTTCCAACTTGGCGAATATTGTCGTACTTACACGAAAGAACATGGTTACTTCGGTCAATGTGATACTTACATGGCTGGCTGTCGCAGATACTTTAAAAATGCTGGATTATCTTCCCTTCGTGACAAAATTCTACATACTTAAGGACCCTAATCTGAGATATTTTCAAACGAGAGATTACAGTGCAATAATATTCTTGCTGTTTCATGCGAGTTTCAGCCTTGTTTGCCATTCGATAGCAGTTTGGCTGACCATAGCATTAGCAATATTCAGATTTCTATTCATTTGGTTTCCAACCCATGGAAGTGTTTGGTGCTCACTATTTCGAGCCAAAATCGTGATATGTAGTGTGTATATTTCCATCATTATTCTCAGCATACCGAATTATGCAATCAACAGTTATAGCTATGACAATGAAACAAAGTTGTATATGTCTGCTAAATCAGAGTCGCTGAAAGATGAATGGTTTGATGATGCAAACCAGTATATACATTCAATATTATTCAAACTGGTTCCATGTTTTATGTTGACGATTCTTACTCTGTTGTTGATATACGCGATGCATAAGGCGTACATGAAGCGAAAGGAACTGAAAAGATTCGGCAAAAAGGAAGATGCTGATCGTCACCACGAACATAACCGCACGACGGGCATGCTTCTTGCTGTGGTTGTTATGTTCCTGATAACGGAACTTCCGCAGGGGATTCTAACTTTGATTGTAAGCTCTAATCCAGAATGGGAGACAAAGGTCTATAATAAACTCGGCGATGTATTAGATATCGTGGCACTGTGCAATAATTCCGTGAACTTTGTCCTGTACTGTAGTATGAGTAAACAATTCAGAGACACCTTTGTCCGAATTTTCTGTCACTGCTGTCCAAAAGATGGAATGGGTTTTCTTAAGGTTCGACTCAACACCACAGCTAATGGAAACAAAAATTATATGGCGACAATGAATAATGGACACAACAATAACTCGGCCACGTTTGTTTAAAATGCAAGGGAAATGCAATTTATCATTACACTGTGTTGTTTCATTACATCATCAGAATTGGATCAAACTACAAATTATTACACTACATATATGACAGTACTTCATTATTGTAATGACGATGTTTTATTTATTTTATTTTAAAAAAGGATCGTGTATTTAAAATGCTGAGAATCAGATAGATGTATGAACCATTTTTCGATTCTCTGTCTGACAACTCAGCTGCAAGCTCTGGATTTCTTTTCTTTGTTTGTATAATTTATTGGTGTCATATGTAAATATTAAACAAGTAGGCTATATTATCAGACTATTGCTTTTCAAAAACGTTACTCTAAAATGTAGAACCTCTTTGTCAGTTAAAAAAAAAAAATAAAATCTAACTTTTGGAAAATGACTCATAATTTTTTAATCACGATGTATACTTTTTTGCTGACATTTTATACAAATCCTCAATACTGAAACGACCCCTCCCCCTTAGATTCCAAAAAGAAAATCTGCTGAAGTTCCACTGTCAGTCCATGACATTCTGCTTTTAATCCCTGTCGGTCCTTTACTACCCTGTCTACTCCCAACTTACCTTGACTTTGCCCATGTTACCACTGGCTTACCCTGATGTTTTGTGGTTTTCCCTGACGTCCTTGTTATCTCCCTGATGTCTTCTGACTACATTAGACCAGTCTATAGGGAATGTTTACCCCTCTAGGCACACGATTCCTCCCCTTGAACTTCCAGTGGTCTGTGTCACATTAATTACATACCCTGATCATAGTTATGTGTATAGTAATCTGTATTTTTGATAGATTTTTTCGAAATCGCTATTACTCGTTAGCATCATTTTCATTTAAGAGAGGATGTTATACATTGATATAAAAATAATTTGAGAAAAGTATAGGGAATTTGCTAAATTAAATGTATAGATAAGAACACCATAATATTAAAAATGGATAAGATTCAAATAATCTATAGAATCTAACAAATACAAACGAGTTTACTTACTTATTTGAAGGAAAGGAGAGCCACAACAATCATCCCTGAATTTATAAATTTGTACTGTATGATTATTTATGGAACTGAGTAGAATGGAAAATTAAGTGCATTTCACGTTATCGTATATCTAAAATTCATGATTACCACCAAAGCATACTTAACATGTTTATGATAAAATCAAGATGAAAGACTTTAAATCCATAAAGTTTAACACATACACACACACACACACACACATAATGAATATTTTTGTTTATATATGACGTTTTCCTAATTTTTTGAATTGTTTTGTTGTTGAACATTTGTCAGCCAAATATCTGTGATGGATACTAATAAACGTATGAAAGATTATTACAATGTACTGCAAATATTTGAAAAGTGCATAAGAAGCGAATCAAACACCAAAATTAAGAAAAGTATTTGTTGAATTAAACATTTTCTGACAGCTGAACATTATAGCAGCTTCCTTTTTCTTTCCAGGTTGAATTATTATGCACATATTGACTAGAAAATTAAATTACCTTAACAATACCTAGGGGGTTTTTTTTTTTTTGCACTGGTCGTTTTCAGCAAATGATATGATGCATGTACATCTTGTTTACGATTGATTAAGCTTTTGCTGAAATTGTTTTTGTAACATTGTGCATTGTTGGTAGTTTCTATAGTTACAATACAATTTTTGAATAAAAAAAGTTAATTAATTGATTGTTCAAGATTTAACTATTCCCCACATCTTCCATGTATTTCCCACTGTGCTTTTGATCAGATTTAAATTTTAATCCTGCAGGGTCCTCTTGCATTGTAGGAAACAAAAAAAAGTTCATCGCCGATCTTCGCTCATAACGTTCAACGTTGTCCAAATATGATTATCTTTACTCCACTTCGTAGACCTATCTTTGTCGATCCTGAAATGAAAATGTTATCAATATGTTATTTAATTTATCAACTACTTTTCTCTGAATGTTTTAGTTTCACTTCTATTTAGTTATACAGAAAAAATGGCACAAAAGTTGATTAAAGGATTTCATCTTTTTTGTGGCGAATATTGGCCTTGGTGCAAGAATATACAACATTGTGGTATGCCATTTCAAAAGGGAACTCCCAAAAATATCAAACTAATGCCAAAGTCAACCATCCTTATTCAAAATCAAAATACAAACTGTTCAAATTCAAAGTCAGGTCTCAATCTTCAAATATCAACCATATCAACTTCAGATATCAAGTCTCAAATATCTCAAACTTCATGTACTAAATATCTCAAACTTCTTAGATAAAATATCTCAGACCACATAGATTAAATATCTCAAACGTCATAAATCAAATGTTTCAAAATATCGAAACTTTTCATATTTTAAATCTGACTTTATATTACAGCTCAAAATTATATATCAATTTCAAAGCAAAAGTATATGTATCTTTGTAAGCATTCTTTATGGTCTTTACCTTTAACCCCTTCCATGGCAAAGATTTTAAAGCATTTCTAGACAAAATGATATTAAGATTTCAATGCATTTTTTAGGGTATTTCTTGTAATTTTTGTATACACTATTGTATATATATTCTGAAACCGGGTATTGTGTTGTTTCTAAAAATGATTATAAAAATTTTATTTCAGTTGCCATGGCAACGAAATACACCATAATCATGCTGGAATTTCCATTTATTAAATAATGAGTTTTATTCTAGTTTTTTTGCTTAGTTGAATATATTGAAAAATATTTCATTGTTGTGTTGAAAATTATGAACATGTTGTACATTTTTTTTTTTACAAACCAATTTTAAGTATCTGGGGAGGGGGGGGGGATTGGTTAGGGTTGGGATGTAGACAACAGAATTTAGCATTTTTACAAATAATGTGTTACCCCCGCTTTGATTTCGATAATGGCAAAATCGCTCAAATAGTGAGCAAAGTTTTAGGTACAACCAATAAAAATGTTTTCTGTATATTATTTTACCGTATTTATTTTCTGTTTCCAACGGTGCAAGATTTATTCTGATATTTCCAGTATTAACGAAGTTATGAATGTTTTTTCACACTATACTTGTTTTTCAAGTCAGAGGCGTAGAAATGCGTATATGCCATGTAAGGGGTTAAAAAGTTCAGCAAAGGAAGAATTTAAGATGGATGTTAAACCTGACTCTTAATAATGATTAATACTTGCCTGCCCAAATTCCATATAGGTAGAAGAATCAACTCCCATATGAAGAATAAATATGTTCAGTTATAAAGGAATACAAAGCACAAGAACTACACAAAACGTAATGGCATGTACAAAATCACAAAAAACATTAAACCAAAATCTAGAACATGTGATGTGTTGTGCTAGGTGAAAAAAAAACAACACTCTTCAATAAATGACAATAAACCAAAAACATATATGTATATACAAAACATTACAAAAATATACCCCAATTACATCCTGAGAAATGCACTGTTTAGTAAAAATATTATGCATTAAACTAAGTTTGGCCATTGAAAGGACTAGATACAAAGTATGATATAAACAAAGCACTGATATGGGGTGTACGCTTAATACATGTTATACATGCAGAGTCAGATCCCAACACTTTAAAGCCAACGACCAAACAAACACTTTCTCGTTAAATTAAGGCATCTATCTTGTATACACAAATAGATGCTGTTATTTTTAGTAAACTCATGTGACCTATTGCTATCCGTTTTTGTCCGTCGTGTGCCGTGCGTTAACATTTGAACATTTTCACTTCTTCTCTGCAACCGTTCAACAAATTTCAACCAATTTTGTCACAAAGCATCTGTGCGTGAAGGGAAACAAAAAATTCTGAATTTCATGGTTCCTGCCCTCCCCCCTGGGGCTTTAGGGATGGGACCAAAACCACTAAAATTAACGCAATCTTTAAAAATCTGCTTCTATACTCCTGGACATCAAGCAGTCAAACTGTTGGCATGATTGTAATCAGCACTGAGTCCTCTACCAAAATTGTGAAATTCATGGCCCAAGGGTCAGGGTTATAGTGCTATAGACGAGCAAAATATGGTTTGTATTGCTACGATTTTTACAAAGCTATAAAAATTGTCTACGACTCTTTGATACAATCTACGTATAATTATATACTTTGTAACAACTTTGTGGCCTCCATGGGACCACTTCTTCTGTCGCTATATCATTCGTAGTACTTAAATATCTAGCAAAATATGTACTGGTATTTTGAGCACTCAAACAACCCCATAAAAATGCAAGAACAGCAAAATATAAACAAATTTAATTTCAAGATAAGGAAAATAATTCTTTTCATGGTTTGTACATGTTGCATGGCATGAACAGTCGTGTCACTTCTTTAGTTTTGAAGCTATTTAATTAAATATAAACACTTGTGCAAATGAAACGCATGGTTCAAGGATAGATATGAATTGAGAACTCCTCTTCAATTTTTTTTTCATAATATGCAATTATCTTTCAAACTCGGATCTTTAAACTATGAGATTGATCTCCATTTCGTCATTTTAAATTTCTTTTATTTATATTCATTTAAGATTTAAGATTTATTGAACTGTATACAAACAAAGCATCACCTTAAAATTCAAGATTCCTAACATATTCCAAATCATTAACAAAAAAGTGTATAAGAATTCAAAAACTTGAAGGTAATTCCTACCAATGACTTGTAAGATCCTTTGAAATGGTTCCAGATTTCCGGTCGGTGAGTACTATTTTGAGTTAGTTTTCTCCCACATATGCACGTCATTGTGCTGGTCAATCAATGGCGGCGCTCTTGGGTTTGTAAGTCGTCGAGCCTGTCTGTACGCAAATGCACTGAAATAAACTACAACCTTATGCGTAACTATAAGCCTGTTATTAATTTAGAAAGAGAGTTTATCTTGTTCATCATTTACTCAGTAGGAAAAGACAATGGCTTTCAATGGATGAAAAGCGCAAGGAACACAATATTGAATCACGATTTCGAGCATTTATAGAGTGTTTGTTTTTTTCATCAACTCTCTTGTGATTTAAAAATTAAGGGGAGGCTCCCACCATCGAAATCACAACAGAGAGTCCCTTGGCAATAAAGAACTCATTCAAACCTCAGATCTTATCAACCAGTTAATAAATTTCATTACATACGAAACTATTAACCAGGTTTTTGTTATCAACAATTACATTAAGAGCACGATCTACCGGGAATAGTGGGGGACATATGGGCTCCCATAATCAAGATAGTTACACGAAACAAATAAATTCTTGAAAATCTTAATGTGAAAACAATACACAATCGATAGGGAAAGCGTGAATTGATGATGATAGCTATAGGTCTCGTGCTTAGTGAAAGTGTTTTGAAATCCATCAAGGAATCTAGCTTTTTAAGGAGTAATAAAGTCCTACCAAGCAGACGAATCCATTAAGATTCTTTTCTTACATTTAGCAGATCCATATTTTTTTTAATTGAAAATGTGGCTGTATTTTGCTTTATGGTTTTGCAACTTTTCTCTAAGAAGATTTGTTAAGAGAGATTTATTGATAATATTGA